GATATTTAGGCTTCAGGGTTGCAGGATTTAAGGTTTGCGGTTAAGAAGCGAGGTCAGTTGTGGTTCTGAAGTAGGCTTGTTTCAATTTGCGCCGTGCTTCCCGGCTGAAAACACTCCGGTTGAAAGTGTGTGGCTGGGGCCTTTCCTGCACGCTGCGTTCTCAACGGAGCCTCGGACGTAGGATGCAAGCGTTGATTGGTACACAGGTTTTAGAATTTAAGGTTTAATCGTGTTCAGAGTTCAAGTAGAGCTGAGGGCTACGCATTGAACAAGAATGATCACAAGGGCACATGTTGCTTTCAGTATCGTCCGTGGGTCTACAGCAGTAGCTCTTAGACTTCCAGACTCCTCGGGTCTACTTGGAGGTGCGCAGTTGGGTACAGCACGTGTAGCAAAATTTCTCGAACCTAAAACTCTAAGGCTTCCTGAGCCCAAGCCCTGCCACTCCAAAGGTCCTATGAACCTGGTAGATTTTCGAAAGCCTTGCAAGAAACGATCCTAAACCCTAAACGCCCCAAGCACCCTGAATACCTTGATACCCTAATATAGGCCTCTACAGTGTTACCAATACAGTATAACGGGCCCTGAAACCCTATTCTAATTATTCAGGCCCCTACATGAACGGTCTTAAGCTCTGCGCCCCGACCCGCCGCTGACCTCCAACCAGAATTTTGTTTTAAGTCTGCGTAGGTCCAGGTCCAAGACCCGCGCAGACGGCCCGAAGCCGCAGACTCCAAAACCCCTTAACCTAAGGAATAGGGTTTGAGGTTTAAGGTTTGAGGTTGCTTCGAATCATTGCCTAAAAGCCCCGCATCCCAAGTCGAAGGTCTTCTGCTTGAATAAGGGGTTTGGGGTCTCTGAGACCTACGACCTACGTGCAGGGCACTCAAAGAGGCCCTGCACCATGCGCTTCGGATGTCCGGCGTCGGACGCGTCCCAGGATTCCTGAATGGCGACTTCTATTCGGGTTTAGTGTTTCGAATTCACCGTTTTATGTTTCCTTTCAAAATTCCACAGCAGCGACTAGTAATCTTCTGCGGAGATCGTGCTGATGTGTATGATTTTGACTACTGTCGTCGGCGTATTATGATTAGCAGCAGAAGCCGGAGCAGTAGCAGTCGCAGCAGCAAGCCTCAACCCCCAAACCTCTAAACCCTAAACCCCTAAACCCCTAAACCCCTAAACCTCTAAGCCCCTAAACCCCTAAACCCGTAAACCCCTAAACCCCTAAACCCCTAAACCCCTAAACCCCTAAACCCTACACCCTCTGCCTTAAATCCTGGCAGCACGGGCGATCCCTGAAGTGGAGCCGTCACGCCACCTTCCTTTTTTGTAGCAACAGAGGGGCCGTAGGGTTTAGGGTTTAGGGTCTAGGGTGGGCCTGAGTTAGTGACATACTCCTCCATGGTCACACTAAGATAGTATAATGTCAGGGCCTTTCTTTTCTCATTCTACAAAGCTTCTACAATCTCCTTTTTTGCACGGAAGACGACGCCGCATCAGCAACTTGCAGCGGCCAATTCGAAGAAACCTTTCATACCTGATACGCGATCACAGCAACGCACGCTTTGCTTTCAACCAAAACCTCGAAACAATCTGGCGACGCAGCCTCTTGGCCCGATAAAAGATCAAAGCCGTAGCCACTGATGTCAAAAGAGACCGAGCTCATCGTTTCTATCGACCAGGCCTGGACGCGCTTCGAAGGGCTGTTCGGGGTTTACGGGGTCAGGTTTCGGGTTGTGAGGGTGTGAGGTCCAGAGCAGATCTTCTTGGAGGTCTACCGAGACCAATTTTTGGTTACTTCATTTCTTCTAGGATACTAGCCATAAAGCACGTGATCCAAAAAAGGGTGCTTGCATTCCAGGGTCTAGCTAGCGTGTAAGGATTGTCGGGGTGGAGACCCATTTGAACGAACAGGAGCGTTCCTGTGTACTTTTGCACCCGCAAGGGCTTACCCCAGCCCGATCATGTAAACACCCAAATCAGTAGCCTCTGAATCCCTGAACCTCATAAGCCCCAATCCTGTACCCTAGTTGCTACACTCCCCAAACCAGATGGCTTCCAGGCGGATGAACCAACCCAACAACGGGACCCGGGGCCTTAATAACTACCTATGCTATTTTGGGGCTTCCTTATTACAATTATAATATAATACATCCCAAAACCCTATTCTAACTATTGAGGCCCCTTCATTGCAGATTGCGGATGGATTGAAGTGGTTCTCCTGCAGAGCCCTACTTGAAGGATCATGGGGCATAGAAATGCATAATATTGGGGGGTCATCACCACTCTTATTGGAGTTTATTACCCTACCTATCCCTGCTGCACTCTCAAGCCGCAAGGCCCTAAAGCCTTCAAGAACCCGAACACCACCGTAAATACCTTCACCATAAATGAAGGGCTTCAAACAAGGACTCATTGGCGAACTCTATACTCTAAACCCTAAGCCCTAGATCGTAAACCCTAAACAGATCCTGAACCCTACACCCCAAACCTTAGCGGTTTTAGACGATAAACTATAAACCCTAAGCTTTAAACCCTTACACGACATGACGCCAGGGTCTCGGGTTTATGGTGGGCCCAGCCGTTGAGGTAGGGCCCGCCCCCCAAGCAACCATCGTGAAAGAGGCAATCAGAATATGGCGTTGGGGTATAGTATGCTGGAATCATAGTAAGGAGCCACAAAATAGTATGAATGTTTCGGGCAAGTACACGAGGTACAGCATCCAAAGCGCTGCACCCTGTTTCAAGTCTGGTGGGTGAGCCCTGCACAGCGGTCAGTCCATGAATCCGCGTTGTTGGGTCACGCAGGGACGAAATTTTTCAGTCATTTCATCAAGACACCGATCACTCTGAGGCGAGAGGTGCAAACGCTATCGCAGTTGAAGGGCTGCGAGGCCGTTTGCAAAGCAGCCCATTTTGGAAAAAGACGCATGCCTCCATTTTTCAGCCGGGGGTGATCGTCGCCTTCTACGGCCACGTGATGGCCAACCGCGAGGCCTATGCCAAAGTCTGTGTTGCAATTCCTTTGTTTCGAAATGGATTTTTCTACACGGTCAGGTTTTCATCTTCATGGAACGCTGCTCTGCCATGCGCACATGCGTGACGCAGGCAATGCAGCTTTTCCAAGCCCTCGATCATGTCCACCAGCCACTTTCTCAGACGTCGAGAAGTTCCTGTTGTGGGTGAGGCGACAATGAAGCGGTAGTTTGTATGAGTACAGTGAGGCGGCAGTTTTTGCATCGCGACGTGAAGCCTGAGAATATCCTGGTCAAGGACGGGACGAGCCAGGGTGAGCAGCGTGAGATGGCAGCCGACTGCGAGAATAATGGCTGGCAGGGTCCGGCTGGCAGACTTCGGTTGCAGCTGCACAAAAGCAGCAGCATGTCGAGTTCCACTTGTGTTGCCCTCGACCGGCCTTGAAGAATGACACAGCAGCCTGACAATTGACAGTGCTAAGGCGGGAACCATGTCACTCTGGCCACCTGAGCTTGTCCGCGGCGTCATCGATTCAGCACGGCCAACAAAAGAAAACATAGAGAGCGAGAGAGAGAGAGAGATATATATATATATATATTGCATATAGTATACATGTAATATATATATATATATATATATACACACACACACACTGTAACAAGCGCAGAAAAGTGCAGAAGATGCCACTGAGCAGGCTGACATGTGGTGCGATATTGGCACGGATCATCCTTTTGGGAGTTCGGCCTCCGCGCTGGCCTCAAATTCTGGGCTGAAAGTCTGCAAGAAACATCTGGAATCCCCTTTGATGGTTTTGATGTTGGGGCAGGTCTGTGGCAGACTCGCAGTCATTGAAGTTCCCTGTCAGGGCCCCATGTGGCATGTCAGGTGTCGTTCCAAGGCTTTCTGCCCTTCCTGTGCGTGTCTCAACTAACGAGGCCGTCGCGCCATCCCACCTCTGCGGTGAAAGATAAAAATTCATCTTCACCCCCTTCCCGCCCCCAACCACCCCTCTCCCCAGTCGAATCCCCCGCCGTGCAAGATAGTATTCCATCTTTCACACCGCCGTAAAGGATGACAGTTCATCTTTGACCGCCCCCCCTGCCCACCCCCAACCAACCGCCGTGAAAGATAAAGGTTCATCCGTCACCCCTTCCTCCCGGCCCGCGCTCCCCGCCTCTAACCTCTCGCCGTGAAAGAGGAACTTCCACCGTTCACCCCGTTTTTCGCCCCCAACTTTCCGCCTCTGCGTGAAAAATTTTCGGGCTGCACCTCCTGACTAAAGCCATCGACAACTTGTCAACGGCCACGTTGGCACTGGCCTTGGAAGATTGCCATAACCCGGCTTCAAGTTTGGGTGGCCATCCTGTGCCACAACATCCTTCCTTCCTTTCTAGGTGCAGGTGCAGCACAAGCTGTGCGCCTGAATTGGCCCAGAGGCCTTTTTAATCAGAAGTTGTGATTGCCTTTGCACCCGTTGTGCTTTATTGATTTTTCGACTTGGTTTGACCCGCCCCCCCCTGTTTCCCCAATTTGGTCCTGCTTCCTTGTCAGAGGCAGAAGCCAATCCTACGGTGGCCGCAGAGATTTTCACAAATTGTTAGGCTCTGAGAAGAATGCTGGGTCATGAAACCCATGCCATGCCTGCTCTTTTTTACGTTTTACGTCGCCCGTCTTTGGCTGCTTGTATCAAACCGTCTCATTTTGAGTCAGCCAATGACAAAAGCCAGAATTTGTGCGCGGCTTGTGCGCGAACCAATAGAGGTTGCAAGGAAGTCGCAGGGTTGAAGCTGGGGACACTGTCGCACTTAACATCCGCTAATCAACTATGGCGCAAAATGTCAAGCTTATGTCATGGTACGGGCAGCGAATTCTGGCACTTTGAGACATTGAAAGGAGCCCCACTTGATCATAAACCTTACCCTGGAAACTCAGACACCGAAACGGCCGTAAACCCCCTGTAAACCCCACACCGGAATACCCCTAAACCGCGCAACCCTAAATCAAGCCTACGTTTGGTGCAGGCCTTATGGCCTAAGGGTGTTGTGAGATCGTTGAGTGGCGTGTCGGGTGCCCGAGCAGCCGTGTAGGATCAGACCAGGCGACTGCGGGGTATTAGGAGTGTACGAAGTACGAATTTCATATCAAGTTTTCTTACCGTGCTTGTATCTGGTGCCGTCAGGGACACGGTTTTCCAACCTTTTGCGACCACTTCATGCAACGACCATATGCAGATGACGGGGGGCATTGTGCAGATACATGTTGCGCGTCAGTGGAACGTTTGCAGGTGGTCTTTATACCGCTGGTTTCCAAATGGGACTGCATGCGTTTTCTCGTGTTTTTTATCGGTTCAGGGTTATGTTTGGGCTGGAAGACGAGAGCTTGGGGAACGTGATGTTGCGGAGGGACCGACCCCAGCCATACACAACCTCATAACTCAAACAAACCTAAGTTGTATCAACATCAAGTTGGGTCCAAGACGTTAGGTGTGTAATTCACGGCTTCGGATTTCGGTTTTTTGTTCGTGCTTTCGGGGTTTAAAGTCTTGGAGTTTAGTGTCTTGCGTGCGAAATCACATTTTGTGGCAACCCAAAATCCCTTCACTCCTAAACTGTACCACTAGACCCCCAACGCCCAAAATGTTACACCCCTAATATATGGGCTGAAAAGTTAGTAGCACCATTATGTCTTTATCGTCACTGAAAATTTTAAAAATAAACGAACACCAAAACCTTGTTGTGGCTGATAAAGCTCCTACATTACCCCAACGCAAGCCATCCACTGTCAGCTAAAGCCTTGTAAAATCCCGTGTGAACACCCCTTACAATTCTTCAATGAATCCTTACAGGAACACTGTACGCCTATAAGTATAAGGCCCCTATATCAAGGTTGCGGAACCTCGGGGACAAGCATGGGAACATCGTGTCGGGCTGAGAGGTGTTTGCTGAATTTGGTTTTGGCTTAAAAGGCTCTTGGGCAGCTCTTCAGCTTTATGGCTTTGTTTGGGCTATGGTTTGTCGTCAATGGCTCTCCAACACGCCTTGCTCACCCGCACGGGGAGTCTCACCTCGCACAGGGAGTATAGTTGGGAAGCGTAAACTCTACGGCTCTGCACGTCTAGTTCGGATTTCGAGGTTGTTTTATCTGGTATTGGGTAAGGCGGTTTAGGACGCTGAGGTTTGGGGGTTTCGGGTTTGCAGAGGTGGAGCCTCGGGATTTTGGGGCTTTGAGGGTCATTCGTTAGAATACCGCTTATTAGTCAGAGTGCCTATACGGTTGCTGTTTACTAGGCCCTACAACCCTCGTCTGGTTGTTAGAGCTTTCAGGTTTCAGGGCTTACGGTTCAGGGAGAAGTACCAAGCTTTCAGAACCCGAAGCCCCTGAATCGTCAACGCCTGGGCAGACACAATAGTCATAAGAAGCTCGTGTAAGCAACCGGCCACTGTCTGCCCTCTGGCTCCGGAGTTGGGTATGTTTTCCAACTGCTATATTGAAACCCCGCCCTCTCGGTAAAACTACTAAAGCTCTTCTCCTGGAAGGTCGGCTGTTGAAGGTGGAGATCTTGCGAATGACCGTCCAGAATTTCGGTTTTAGTTGTTGTTTACTGCCTCTAGGCTCTGATCCTTAAACACACCCACACCGTAACCCAAGATTTCAAGCCCCAAACCCACGGTACTAAACCACCCCAAGCCCCGAAGACACCAGGCGTACCGTAGGCAAGCGCCGGAAAATCCCCGGAGCTCCCGAGGTGATCGTGGCTCAGCCCACGAAGGGGCACATCATGGTCAAGGTGCGCCTTGCTCCAAAAAAAGGACCCAAAGCTGGAGCCCTTGAGGGCTTTGGGATTTTGAGGTTTAGGGTTGTGGGTGCGTGGTTTGGAGCTTGAAGCCTGGAATTTCACCCTTTTTTCCCCTAAGAGATTCCATTACCAGATCCTTTCAGGTCCATTTAGGCTTTTGCTGCCCTGAGTCCCCTCGAGTCGCACACCCTCCGACAGCCTAAACTGCTAAACTTGACTAAACCCGTGACGCCCAATACCTGAGCCCGTGCTGGGCTTGAAAATTCGAATTGAAGCGCACGCTCCCCAGACCTTGAGCCTTGAGCCCGATTGCAGACCCTCGATTAAGAGACCCATCTGCTTCAGTTGAATGAACGAAAGGAGGTTTATCATTCAGTGGGGGTGCATTAATCAGGGGGTCCAGCCTAAGCACTACACCCTAAACCGGAAGCCAACAGTAGACCCTAAGGCCTCCAAACACCTCGAGCTCGCAACCCGAAGCCATGCTCTATGATTGAGCCTCGCGCACTTCAGCCCAAAACCCCTAAATGTGAGCCTGAGAGCTTTAAGGCCAGAACCAGACCCCAACTGCACGCGTTCGGCCCCTCTGAGTACTGAGCCAACCCTTTTAGCCTTCGGCCCTTTAAACTTTAAACCCTCAACCCTCAGCCCTGTGAGCTCTAAGCCCGTGGAGCCTGAACTCTAAACCCTCCGAGTCTCCGTTCAAGATACCCTCTTGCTTTAAGGGTTGAGGGTGCGGAAGCCACATTCGCATTCTCATGAAGCGAGGGCGGTCTATTCATCAAGTCATGAACGGTCTACAAAGATTGCTACCATCGCGTCTTGGGTTTAGGGTTTAATATAGGTGCCTAAAGTATTACCAATGCTATTTTGGGGGTTCTTTATTATACTTATAGTATAGTATACCCCCAAAACCCCACTCTAATTATTAAGGCTCCTGCATTAGTTGTCTTTTGAATGTTCAGGGCTTTGAGCTTGTCTTAGAGCCCGAGCACCTGGACCGTGTGAGGGCCCCGCGGACAAGATCGAGGAAGCCAAGCCAGGTCTCCGCGCCATTATCGAGGCTTTTGGGGTTCTTCGGGTTTTAGGCTTGCGGCTTCAGGGTTCTAGTGTTTCAGGTTTTGGTTATTGAATCAAGACCTTATGGCTTTAGGATTCGAGCTTATTCTAAGAGTTGTGGTGAGTGTATACTACTGTACACACGGTGCACCGTAGGAATCATGGTGAGTGTCTACTGGGATACTAGAAAATAACAATCCTGGCGTATCCCCGTGCTGACTAAGTCCCCTGCATTTGTAACGAGGATCTCGGTTTCCAAAGTTTCAGCGTTTGGGAGTCAGGTTTCACGAGCTAGGTTTAGGGCTTATTGCAAGACGTAGGGCTTAGGGAAAGCCATAGGTAAAGTTTTCAATTGGGACAAAATTCGCTAGAATACCTTCAACCCAAACACACCCGAGCTGTTGAGTGTCTCGGTCTTTCAAGCAGCGCCCTACGCCCTCTCTACACCTCTAAAAGTTTCCGGCACCCTCGGAAAGTCTGGCCTGCCCCTAAAGCCTACAGCTGGGCTCCAAAACCCGCCTCTCAATCCCAACACAAGCCTGCAGGCCCCTGAGCCCCAAAACTCCAGATCTTGCAGCCCTATACCCGAATACGTGTATATCGAATTCAACTTAATACCTAAGCCTGAACCCCGAACCCTATACCAGGATTCCAACACAAATGCTAAACCCTAGACCCTAAACCCGAACCCCTAAAAGCCTAAACGACCATGGAGCCTTATAAAGCCCTAAATCCTCAAACCCATTATGCAGCCTTGTAACAAAAGCCCTAAGCCCCTAAAGCCTAGTACAGGGGTCTAAATAATTGCCAATACTATTCTGGGGGTTCCTTACTATAAGTATAGTATAATGGACCCCAAAACCGCATTCCAGTCATTAAGGCCCCTATGTTATACCTCTGAAGCCTGAGCCCCCACAACCTAAACGATTATGGGGCCTTATAAAGCCCCACTTCCTCAAGCCCCCTGGTCGAAGGAACACTTCCCGGATGCCGATTGTCCGGAGGACCGGGTAATATGGAAGCCTCATAGGGTGTCTTTAGGGTTGGGGGGTATTCGAAACTTTCCTGTATTATTCCTTGGGGTTTGTTATTGCGAATATGGTAAAAGATGCCCACACCCAAAAAAACCCTACTCTCTCATTATTCAGGCGCTTTATGTTGGGCTTTTTTGTTTGGGTTTCAATTTTCAGGCTGTAGGGGCTTCAGAGAGAAAGGTTTCGCGACTTCCTTCGCGTTTTCAGTTTCCGGCGGAGGGTTCCCTAAACCCTAAACCCTAAACCCTAAACCGGGTCCCATGAATGTTAGGATCGGGCTGCGCTCGCCGAGTTTCTCTGGGAAAATTCGAAGCCACCCACTCCAAAGTTAGGGTCTGGGTTTAGGGTGTAGGGTTTAGGGTTTAGGGTGTAGGGTGTCGGGTGTAGGCTTGCGTGTTCCGGAGAGATGCAAAATTTGTGTTTTTTTTTTTGGTTTTGCTCTTTCGTTGCCTTTGGCCCTTCACATTTGTCGTGTAGCCGTTTGCGTAACCACCCACGTATGGAGTCCTACTATCGGGCATGCCACACCCTCAAAGCGTCAAATCCAAACCGTGAGCTCTGCCCTGAAGATTCCTTGCTGAAACCTAGGGAAACTACAGGTGGGGAGTTTGGGGAATACAGGGCTTCTATAAGGCTTCTCTAAGGTATATAGACCTTCTATAAGGCTCCTATAACGGTAACCACCCACCTGAAAATCTCCTAGATGAAAAACTCCAAGCCATGAGCCTGGCAACAGGGAAAGCTTCCTGTGACCCGTGCCCGTGGGGGGTTTTGGATGATTCGTAACAGGATCCCCGTATGGTCTTAACGCAAACTGCTCTAATAACATATCCTGCACCCCAGTGTAACTCTTGAAGTCTAAACACAAGACGCTGCAAAAAGCCTAGAATGGCCTAAAGCCCTTGAGAACTCTCCAGAACCACTCTAGAAGCCTTTATAGGGGATCTTATGGTCTAGGATCACTCCCAGGCTTCCTCAAGGGTTTGGTGTTGTGGATCTGTGGATCTGGCGCAAGGGTTCCTGGGAATCCAACCAGTGCCCTGCCCCTCAAAGAGATCTATAAGGGCTTCTATCTACAACGAGTCTGCAGGAACTGAAGGAGGGGGCTCAGGCGGGTCTGGTTGCTCGCCACAGGGACAGAGTTATGATTAATATAGGGGCCTTAATAATTACCTGTAGTATTTTTGGGGGTTCCTTATTATAGTTGTTCTATCAAGGACCCCAAAACCCTATTCTAATTAATAAGGCTCCTACATTAGTGAAGGGTTCAGGGGTTTTTAGGTTAAGGGTACCCTATAGCTATTACCAGGACAGTGGGGAAGCCAGGAAGGGTTGACAGATTAGGGCTTTAGTTTCGGGAGGAACGTGTAGGGTTTAGGTATTCCGGTTCAGTGTTGTACGTGTTGTTCCTGAAGTATCATGGGACTTTATGAGTCGGTCATATTCGGGCGTAGAAGCACCGCGAACGGTTCTGTCTTAACTAGAGGCTCCCCAGTCCCTTGAGCCTCCAAGTCGGATTTTGGGGAGGGTCTCTCTTCCGGTTCAGGCTTTGGGGGTTTTTGGGTTGCGAGCCTCAGGAACCATGCCCTGACTGTAAGCCCTGTGCCCAAACCTAAGGTGCTGCAGTTTTTACGATGGGAGGTCCCGCCAGCATGCAGTATAAAAACACAGGCGGGGCACTCGCACACCGTCCCAGGCACAAGCACACTCAGAAGCAGACAAGCTCCCAGAGCGAACATAAGACGCGACAAGATCCGCAAGTTCGTCAAGCCTCCACATCTCCATGTAGACCGCTAAACACACCCCAAGTTCACCTCAACCGTCTGTGGAGGCGATGGAAGTCGAACAGCCCCAGGCACTGGCAGGGGGGGCTCTAAGTTATCTTCGGCTGTATATTGCCCGAAGTGTTGAAGACTTAGGTCCTGAAGCAACAAGAGCAGGTCATGGACAGGTGCTTTTCATAGACTTATCTGTGCTTCGATGGAGTTTTCAGGCTTTTACCTGGACTTTGCAGGGAGTGGCCGGGATGTATGCGGTGCTGTAGAACCCTGTTAGGCTGCGTTGGAGGTGGTTTCGCTCCTTCCGTGCAGGCGCCCACGCCTGCGCCCGCTCCGGCGCCCGCGCCGACGCCGGCGGCTCCTGCAGCTGCCAAGTCCGCACCAGCAGCACCGGCAAAAGCGAAGGCACAATGTGGGAATTTGGGCTCTCTTTGTGTTCAGGGACTCAGACTACGGATGTCGTTCAGGCGTACCACCTGTACGGTCCTACTCTGCCCAGAACGAAGACTTCACGGAAGTTGAGTTATGCTCCACACTCTAAGCTCTGACGCCTTCAACCCCAAACCCTAAACACCAAACTCTACATCCGAAGCCCCAAACATGGAAGACCTAAATCCCAAACCCGGAAGCCCGCAGCACTGGAAACCTTCACTTATCACTTAGAATCTCTAGAAAAAACATGATAATCGTTTCTAAACACAGAAAATGCTGATAGCCCACGTTAGATGCCCTTATGAATTCCCGTGAAAACTCTATGAAGCCTCTGTGGAATGATCTGAAATCCCGATAAACCCTGAACAAAAAGACTGTCTGAAATCCTACAACGCCCTTCTAGAGACGTCTAAACCCGAAATGAACCCCTTCTCACCCCCCGTCAAAAAGCCCTTCACTTCAATTTCAGCCTGTCAGCCCCCTAAACCCTAAACCCTAAACCCTAAACCCTACACCCTAAACCCCAAAAACGTTTTCTCCCCACCCGAAGAATCGAAGAGTCATTGATTTCCCAGGCCTCTGTGCCTGAGCCCCAGGCCGAGAAGGCCCCGAGTGGCAACCCTAAACCCTAAACCCTAAACCCTAAACCCTAAACCCTAAACCCTAAACCCTAAACCCTAAACCCTAAACCTGTATAAGGAATGGTCTAAGGTGCTATAGCGGCTTTTTGGCTGTATGGAGATTTGGCACGGGTTTAGAAGGCTCTCACGAGGCGTAATTGGGTTTGGTACGTGCTTGGCGAGGCTTTGGGTTTTTATAGGGACGGGTCCGACGAGGAGGATTTGGTCATTGAGGCCCGCGACTCCTTTGCCCTTAAAGTCTACACCCTATAAGCCCTAAACCCTCTAAACCATGACGTTTGTGCCCAAGTCGTGGAGCCAGTAAGCTGTCGAATTCACCCTGGAGCTGTTGCATTGAGGGAAGGGCCCCTTTTGGCTTGGCGCTTTGGGGTGGCTGTGTTTCGCTCCGCGCATGTCGGGGTGATCCTCATATCTCGTGCCTTATCAGGTCGCGTCTTCGCGTTGTGTCGTCATGTCGGTGTCTCCGTGTCGTGTCTGTTGCTTCTTTGTGTTATGTGCATCGCACCATATCGCACCCTTGTGTCACAGGCCCCATAGCATCCGGCGTTCGGTTCCTTCTTTTTGTTTATCCGCGTTCCTGGCCTCCGCTGTGCTGGGGCCAAGGGCCAAAGCTTCGGCCTGATCTCCCAAACTTGTGCTGCGCCGCTTGGGCGGTGCCCATAGTTGCACAGCAAGAGCCTGCAGATCAGCGTTGAAGGACAATGCTGTGTTTGGAATTGGCAGCGACATGTCTCAGACGTCGAAACGTGCCCTGCAAAGACAAAATGCCGCAAACTAGTTTTGACGAGATATGCATGTGTTGACTGGATTCGGAAAGCTTTCTGGTACCATGAGCCCATGGAACCCGCAAGTTGACAACTCTGCGCGTTATGCGTTGATCTTCCAATGTTGGCGGAAATTTCCATGTCGGAGCATATGAACAGCATATGACATGTGCTGATTTGTTCAGAAAACTGGCAGGACCCGGACCATTACTTGCTGCGTCTGGTCGAGCTGCCAGGTGAACTGCGCCTCGCACTGGAGGCGAATGTGCCTTCAGTGGGTCTCGGATTTAGAACCCCTGTGTAGGCACTGGAGGCCAATGAGCTTCAACGGTGCAGGCTTGAGGTTTTCTCTTCTCCGGCAGATGGATCAGGGGCACGCATGCCCTGAGGGACTTTTGAGGATATCTTCAGAACATGAAATCGAAAGGAGAAACCGAACCCTCAATGGGTTCCAGGACTAGCTGTTGCAAGCTTGCTGAGCTGCTGAGGGAGTCGGAATTTATCTTCTTGAGTGCGAGCTTCGCGGTCAGCTGTCCAAGCAGCCAGACTCCTGCCATTGCTTGTGAATCGTCCTCATCACTCTAGTCTGCAGTGCAACTAGGTTGTGCTGCCTTGGGCACGCATCATCTATTTGCACTGTGTAGAAGGAGATTGGTGTAACAACGCCACGGCCTGGCACCGGGCTTGCCTTTCGCCGCGTCTGCTGATGGAAAATCGCTGAGCGTGACGGGGCCGATCGGCAGTGGATGTGGCGTTTTTTTCTTTTCTCTCTTGATCACTCATCATGCTGTGTTGGTGATCTTCACTCCCATACTTAGTTTTCAGTAGGGCTTAGGCTTAGATGTCCGAAATGGCCCCACATAGATGAACAGGCATGCGCTCAAGGTTTATCTGGGATGCAAAGGCGTGGTGCGCGTGCTCAGATGACATGAGTTGCGCATGTGGCTATACGCGCGAACTGAATTGTGACGTCTACTAGATGACGGGGAGTCTGTGACATGCACGACGCAGTCTTTGGTTCCCACCCCGGGCGCATTCTCCTAAGCGAAATCGCCACAAGCCTCCGGCCCGTGCTTGCCAGGCGAGTATTCGGTCAAGGGTGTAATGCCAGGCTGGCGAATCTTCTTGACGCTACAGAGCGTTCTTCGAATTTGCTTAATTTATTTGTTGCCACTCACAGCTTTGCAGCCCCTGGCTTTGAGATCCAACTTGAACCACAACACAATATGCAGAAGAACCACGTCGTGGAACACGCAGACCTGCGCGTGCACGTACTTCAAGCCTCTTATGCAAATCACAGCCGTGCGAGGTGCATCACGGACCGTTGGCGTCTGCGAAACATGACATGTTGTGATCACACATGGACCCTTGCAGTCATGGAGGCTAGTGAGTGTTGAGTTGACGGAGTACGTGCCTATAACAGATCACATGGGGACATCGCAAGTCGTAAAGCAATCCAAAGACAACCGGATTCAAGGGGTTTCGGGTTTCCCCTGTATTAAACAAAAACAGTGAACTTTTAAGCCTCTCAACCTTTAGCCTCAAGTTTCTTGTTTTTGGAACCCACGTGAAATGAAACGGCAGTTTCTTTTGACCTCCGTGTTGTCATGTTATGTTGCCTGCAGCTTGCAGTACGGACCTTGGACCTTCGTTGCATGCAGTCACTTGGATCAAAACGCTTGACTTGCCGGTTGTTGTTCGCCCCTCCACTTGTGCTGAACCTGTGACAACAGTTCGTTCAGCTCTCAGCTCCGTGCGACTCACGTATTCATACTCTAATCAAGTGTTGCTGAGGGCACGCTGTAAACAAAGAAGTTTGGAATTCAGCTTCTATTGACAACTCATTGTGCGTGAGGCCAAGGAACAAGTATGGCAGACTCCAGCATTGGCATTGGTTTTGGTTTGTGTGCTCGTGCCTCAGAAGGTACTTCTGCGCATCCCCACTTGCACAGTTTTTTTCAATCCTGGGCTTCAGGCAAACAGTGGCCGGTGCCGCTCCTTTGGAGCCGGCAGCCCCACTGCCGCCCGCGCGTGAGAACCCAGAGCAGGCTGCGAACCCACTTGTTCCGGTGAACCCATCACCGATGAACCAATCCCGGCTGCGAACCCACCCCGGCCGGTGAACCTGCCAACCCGCCCTGGCCGGCGAACCCAGTGAACCCAGCCATGCTTGTGAACGCAAGTCAGGCCGTGATCCCACCTACGCCTACAAACCCACCCATGTCTGTGAACTCACCCATGCCGGTGACCACAGCTGATGCCGACCCAAGCTTACATCTCCTGTGATTCATCCTTAGTTGCAGGAGCACTGCCAGGTGGCATGGGACGTGGGGCACAGAGAAGCCGGGATGGCCGAAGGTCGAAACGGACGGGCAAGACCATCAAGAGGACTGCACAGGCCGCGTTAGTTGTCACTAGTGTCAAGCACTTGCCATCGCCGTTGCCTTTCCGCGCTGTGTCACCAGAATGGAAGCACCTTCGCTTCCAGTGCTGAGGCTGTAACTGCCCAGTTTGCGCTCTTGTTGTGGAGCACCTCGTGGATCATGTCATTGTCTGGGTTGCGAGGGCATTTCCTCCTCATCTTCCTCAGACGTGGCTTGTTCTTCCTTTAATCCCTTGCAGCAGCTTCGGCCTGAATGAAGGTCACACGCACTTAAAGCCTCAATGCAACTGGGCACATCTCACGAGCAAAGCAAGATTATATGGTACATGTATGAGCTTGTTCTCGCTTCCGCAGATCTTCCAGGCTTGGCCTGCCAGTGCCTTATACTGCTGTCCTAGAAGCTGCGCCAGTTCTGTTTATTTGTTTCTCGGCCTGCGCCTTCATGGGCCCACGCGTGCCACAGGATCTTCAGCGGATGTGGGCAAGAGATACAGCGACAGCTCATGAGGCCTGGGACTTGATGTGCTTGGAATTTAAGGTCATTCCGCGCAATAGGGCCTTCATCTGTGATCCTCTGTGACAGAGGCCCAAAATCGGGGTGGGCCCCGCAACCATGTTTTTGGGGGGAGGGCTTGAAGCTCTTTTGGCTCCCCCCCTCCTTGCTTTGCTCATCTGCATTCGTTCAAATTTCGCCTATGGCCTTCCGGTATGTCATCACCGCAATCTGACATCACAAGTCCTGCTTCACTTCAGGATCTCCCGCGAAATCACCGCACCTCCATGGTCAAGTTCACCAGTCTCGCTCTCGCTGAGACGACGAAAACATGATGATGCTCTCGCAAGTCCGTGCCCACCTGCTGACAATGGTCATCAAGCAGCGCGTGCTGCTCGTCATTCGACGGGGACTTGCTCCACACGTTCTTGTGTTCGATGATCTTGCGCAGGAAGTTTGCGGGCAGAGTGCAGTCACGTCCCAGAATGTCAGCGAAGCCATTCCCGCGGGATCGTAGCAGCCCATACTTTGTTGGGCACGGTGCCTCTGGTTTTGGTCCTGCAGGCATCGAGCCATACATTCTGGAGGTCACTGCTTGTGGATCTTTCCGATTGAATTTAAACCTGGGCTAAAACCACTTTACATGTATGAGAACAGTATCTTCCAAACTTTGGTTCATACGGAGATGTTACCAATATTGTTTAAACTAGTCACCTAGTCCACCACATTGCGACAGGCAGCGGTTCAAACGTGGTCAAAGAGGCAATCCCTTCAGCAAAGGAAGTCAGTACAGAAGTGAGAAAAAGAAAAAGATGATGCGAGAAGAGTTGCCATTGGGCAGCAGAAGCAAAGGAAAAACAATACAGTAGTCCTGTCGACGGTGCTACCGGCTCCACACTTGAAGCCTGGCATGCCACAGCTTCACTGCACTGCAAAAGTTTGCAAGCTTCACTGACAGGGCGATATCGCTATCGCCTTGCAGGTTGCAGGCACGTTTGGAGCGCTCTTCGGCGGTAGGCTTGCGTGCAACTGTGGATGTCAACAGTGGTTTCCAAGCCTCAGCTGGTGGGAGGCTGAGCTCCTGCAGATTGAACTGCAGGATGATGAGGCATCAGTTCGGATATGTTCGGTCTCCAAATGTGCAAGCGCAATTTTGTTCCGCCATGTTCCACCGTACCAATGGTCGTGTTGCAGGCTGACTTTGTGGGTCTTCTGCCGGAATGTTTCCTCCAGATCCCGGACAAGGTTTAAGACGTGAGTGTTACGTGTCGTTTTGCGCAGTCGGAGGTGCGTAGCGGCATGGCGTTATATGCTTTGTTAGCCA